CAGCTGAGTAAGTGGGCAGCCCCCAGCTCTGAAAGTGCGACTCTTCCTTCTAAATTAGAAGGTTGGGTGGTCAGCATGTTCCTGAGGTCCTGATTATTTAAACTGTCCCACTTGAAGTCACCCGGGGCCTGAGGAAGTACTCAAATATGTTCCCTGTCACAGGAGGACATTAGGGTGCAGGAGGGAGAAGGAGGCAGGGAGACTCAGCAGAACTCACCCACGGACCCTAACTCCTGACCTGGTGAACGCAGTGAGAAGTGGGTGCTGGGAGGTGTGGGTGTGGAGCCGGGCCGGGAGGATGGTGATAGGCCCCCGACTTGAGAGAACTCTGGGGTGAATCTTCTCTGCCAGTGTGTCCTGCAGGGTCAACGTTCCTCCATGAAGTTGCTGCAAGTGGAATGGAGATATGTGTATAATTTAAACATGTTTAATCGTACAGGTGTTTAAATAGAGAGCCCTTCTCTGCAGTCAGGTGGCTTCAGAAGCGCATCCCAGAGCGTCGTGAGCTGGCCGTCGGGTTTGCCCGGCAGCTCCCTGGAGAGCTGGGTCCTGGCTGGGTTGGGGTGGTCACCTCCCTTCTAGGGCTTTCTGTCTTGGGCTGGGATTGAAAGTCCCAGGGCTCCATCCTCCAGGGGGGTTAAGATTTGTCGTCAGTGGCTTCCCTGACCTCGGGGGACTGTGTCTGCCTTGGTGTGGCTCTCACGGCCTCTCTGTCCTTCCCACTCCTCGGAGCTGCTGTCAGTGTGCTCTTTCCATTCACTGTTAAAGTTAAGGAGCCGTCAGTGAAGCTGTTGTTCCTGAATGTGGTTGGACGCTTCCCTTGTGGCTCTCTCCTCTGGAGGGGAGGGTCACCTCCCGGTCACCCTGCTCCTTCACCTGCAGCCCAGGGTTGGGCTAGGGAGGTCTCCTGAATCTGTGGTCGTTGGCAAGCCAGGAAGCTCCGGTGTTTAGGGCCTTAATTAAAAGGAGCCGAGACTGACCCATTTCTCACTCCAGCCGGACCCGTGGGCTAGTGGCCTTTCCTGGTGTCTTTCTTCCTCACCTTCAGTGCCTTCCTTCAGGCTGTCCCCACTGTTGTGAGGGGACGGGCATAATTCCTTTTCTGAACCCTTCTTTCAGCCCCTGGCACCCTGGGCCTCTGTAGGACACCAGCCTGGGGAAGGTGGCAGCGTGACCGTGTTCACAGGTCTACCCGCCCACTGGGCCATGTCACTTGTCCCTGAAATCAGGGAAGGGTTCAACAGATGAGCTCCCCCAGCCAAAGCCCTTCGCCCGTTGGCAGGGTTCTAGCTGGAAGGAGAGGAGGGTCAGGCTCGGAGAAGACGCTTGAGTCTTTCCGTCTCTGAAGGCATTTTGTCCCACTGTCCCAGAGGCGGACCCCTCTGGAAACGTGAATGCAGCCTATGACACGTAATCATATACGAGGAGTAGAGTAGAGTGATATTGATAATGCAGTCACAGGCGTGAGCTCCAGATGATGATTGCCGACCTGTTTGAAGGTACCTGCGTCCATGTCATTGAGGTATTCACAGAATTGAAAGCTTGGGGTCAGTTGCAAGGTGGGATGTCCGTGTGGCTGCCCTGGGATTCGAGGCTTAGAAGCATCAAGGAGCATCCCTTGGGCCACAGGGCTTTGAAGACGGGGCCGGGGTTCAGAGTGGGGCCCTATCCCACTGCAGTCACCATCACTGTACTGACCCAGTGCTGTGGGTCAGCTCCTCACCCTCAGAGTCTGATGAGCCTGGCCATTTTCAGTGGTAGGTCCCAGTCGCAGGATCCAGAGTTTTGTTGGTGCCCATGACTGCGAGGCATGGGGGGGCTGTGATTTGTGGGTATTTTTCTCCAGCTCTGTCCGTCCTGTCCTGTCTGTAGACAGCTTCATCCTTAGGTGGACTTCCTCAGGGGATCCGAAGGGGCAGCAGAATTTGCAGAACCTCCTGCCTCTTTGGTTCTTTTGTGCCTTCCTGAGAGCTGACCCTGGGACCACGCCCACTCCCGGACCCCCAGCTGTGGCGAGGGGATGGGGTGCATTGATTGGCTGTCCTGTGGCTTCACCCCTGACTCTGTGGGTGAAGGCAGCATCCCTCCCCCTGGATTCTGCAAAAGGAAATGAAGGCCCTTAGGAAGCGGGACAGATGCAGGGCGGTCCCACCCGTGTTCCTGGGACGAGTTGGAATACTGGATACTGCACCGACACGCATGCTGCTGGGCAGGGAACCAGTTGTGTCTGCCTGGTACCTAGGAGAGTGCCCGGGACACCTTCGCGTTCAGTAAAAGTTGGCAAACAAATGAACCGCAGCAGGCCCTTCCTCAGACTCTCGGAGCCTGCGTCTGTTTTGGCTTGGGGACATCTTCTTGCTCCATCATAGAGCTGGCAGTTCGGCTCTTAGGTTGCTAAATCCAGCCTTGCAGTTGATCACTCGTGACTGGTTCTGGTGACAGAATTATCACTGGAATAGCAACTCAGTGCTTGGAATGACACCTCTTACCTGGAATTTCTTCAAAGAAGGGAAAACACATTACCTAATTTGAGCTCCTGTGGACTAATGGGGCTGCCTCCAGTCTGCTTTGGAGAGACAGATTTTGTTCCTCTCCTGGTGTGAAAAGCCCGGTGACAGGAGCCGGGGGGTAATGGATCTGGGCAGACTTCTGGGCTTCTGCATCGACAGCCAGCGAGGTGGAGGCAGGGGACTGAGAACCAGGGAGGCCAGACCCGGGGCTGGTCCAGGAGTGCACACCTAGGCAAATTCATTCCGGATGGCTCCTTTGGGTTCAGACACTCGTGTGCCACCAGGAGGACGTGTCTGGGTGCTCCATGTGAGAGACGGCTTTGATCCCCAGGCTGCGGAGTTCAAGGTGGGACCCACTGTTGCTTGTTTGTCCTCTGGCTACACAGGTAGGCTTTGTTTGAGGAGCAGTGACTCATGCTCATGGGTTGTGTGAGCTCTTGGAGGAAACCCTGCTGCTCTGGCAGGTGAGACCAGGTGTCCTTGTTTGCCATGGTTTTTTGGGAAAAAAAAATCTCACTGTCATTGTGGTAGACTATTCTGTCTAAGCTTGAGTAGGAATAGCCTTTTTAGGGGGTGAAGTGGAGGCGAGGGAGGGGCTGTTTGTCCCAGTGGGAGTGCCAGCCACTGTGCTCGGTATTGCCCCATTTACCAGACGGGGACGCTGAGGATCCGGGTGCTGATGATACTTGTGCAAAGTCCCCCTGATGTTCCGTGCGGAACCAGAGCTTGATCTGCTTCCAAGTTGGGCACGTGACTGCATCCACCTGGTTGCTAGCTGTGAGCTTGCATCCTGGTCTCCTTTGGAAAGTGCCATTAGTCACAAATAAGTGGATGTCATCCTGTTTCTGTGGCTATGATGCATCTTTGCCATTTTCTCCCAGGAACCCCCTGGAAGCTTTAAAATAGTGTTTCTTTCTTCTGCCTTCTCGGGGCAGAAGTGAGACCTGCCACCTTTTAGGAGTGAATGAAGATAAGACAGCGTCTCAGTGTTAAAGTAATGAATTCCAAAACCAGTGGAGAGGTTCATTAACTAGACTCTCCTCTATGAGAAATGCTCATTAATGGCTCCCCAGGTTTAAGACTCCCTCAGTTTACCTCTTTTGTTTGCCATTCTTCTTGTTCCTCTCTATGGATGTGAAGTCTGGTTTGGAGAGTCAATCATTGCATATACTTCTTGATGGGCAGATGGTGGAGTCGGGATCCAGTCTGTCTTCAAAGCCTGTACATTTCTTACACTATTTGCTCCGGACGTGTGTGTGCCCAGTCTGCATGACAGCATTGTTGATGCCTGTGAAGGCCACTGAAGTGGGGGCTTGCTTTGCCTCATATTTAGATCCCCCACGATTGCTGGCCTTTAATGTGATGATCCCGGGGTGGGGCCGTCTCCTAGCATCCTGAATAATCAATAAAAAGGCTGGTGAGATTGGATGCAGGTGTTGCAGTGGGCTGGGATGGCAGACACCGTCCTAAGATGTTCTATAGCAGTGTTGTGCTCAGGGTCCTCTGGGCGGACCAACGTCTTTCTGTCGACCAGGCTGTGCGCGGTACTCCCTGTCCTGAGCTGAGCCTTCAAAAGAGCTCCATTGCTGGGCTTGCTCTTCTGATGCTATGCCTGCAGATGGGGAGAGGTGCCTCGGGCTGAAACAAGATCACCTTCAGGTGGGCTGAGGGTGTGGAAGCCTTGCCCACCTGAGCTGACTCAGGTCAGCTGCCATGTGCCCTGCCCTTCACATGCAGCACCTGTAAGTGGAAATGATTGGGGGGGATGGAGAGTGGAGCCCCTGGTGGCCTCGAGGTTGGGGCATTGGAGTTTGGAGGATGCCTCATGCACTGGATGGAGTAGAGTGAATCTAGTATCCTTGCTTCCCCATACTTCCCCTGCCCCCTCTAGCTCAGTCCTTTGCAAGCCTAAAACCCTGGCTCAGTGGCTCTGTCTGCTTGGGCTGTAGCTCTGCACAGATGTTGTTGGGTTTAACTGGGGCAAGAGAAGAGTTTCCATTCCCTAACCAGGAGGTCCACTTCCTGTTTTTGGCTTTTTTTCTTTGAAGTATAGAGTTTGGACTGTGGCTTCCTTGGCTTACGTGCGACAACTTACGTAAAGGTGGTGTGCACACTTTGGTGTGCAAGGAAATATGATGGATGAGCCCAGGAATTTCCACTGGCTTGAGCGGAGGTGTGGGGAAAGGAGGCAGGCAGCAGCCTCTGGCTCTTCCTTCCTGGGGTCTGGAGTGAGCTTGGCTCAGCCCCTTTCCCCAGGATCTCGACAGGTTCTCCTTTCCTCCTGGGCCGCACCTTCCATCTCCTTCCCTTCGCCTCCCAGGGCATAGTCAGTGAGCCTCAGCTTTGGAGGTGACATTGAACCCGTCATTCTTGTCCAGTGGATGTGGCGGGTGATACGTGTGTAAACTCATCCAGGGGCTAACTCTTTTGGCAGAGCTTTCTAATTGTGCCTACTGACATGGGCCCTGCATGCCCCTTCTCTGATTTCAGCCCCTGCTCTGATGCCGACCCCAGGAAAGCCGTGATGTATACCGGGTGACTCTGCAGGTGGGGCGAGGCCCACGATGCACTCCTGTGGGGTGTGTGGCTGTGGTCCCACTGGAGCCGGCTCAGCAGGCTGTGACTCGGATGCAGACACAGCTTGCTCTCTGCAGGTGCTGCAGGCCTGCTGTCTGGATGGTCCTGAGAACCGTGTGCCTCCAGCCCCCGAGTCTGGATTTCTATCCACAGGTCCCTGGTTGTCACTTGCCTTTGGCTTTGGGCACATGGCACCTCACGTCAAGCCTCAGCTTCCTTTCTGTGCTTTGGAACCTGCTGATGCCTGGTTCTTTTTAGCACAGGAGGTGTCTCCTTATTTCCCTCAAGTCCTGCGGATGGCAGCGGAGGAGGAAGGCAGGGTCTTTCTCAGTGGATAGTCGCCCAGCTCTGTCAGCAGCACCCCTCAGTCCCCTGGAGAAGTACTCAGTCAAACAAATGGTCCTGCCGGGCCATCATTCATGACAGTGTTTTTTTTGGTCACGGACTGAACCCAGAGGCACTTAACCACTGAGCCACATCCCCAGGCCTTCGTGAGACAGGGTCTCTTACTAAGTTACTTAGGACTTTGCTAAATTGCTGAGGCTGGCTTTGAACTCGTGATCTTCCTGCCCCTGGGATTACAGGTGTGCGCCACTGCACCTGGCTTGGCTGTCTCTATATGGTGAGTAGTTGGAAGCCTGAGTGACCCTTTTCTCCTGTGGTTTGGAGAACGGTATTTATTTGTGGGCTTGGGGGCGCCTGCTTACCCTTTCCAGGGCTTACATTGGGGCTCAAACTGCCTTCAGAGAGTTGATCTCCAGAACCTTCCTCCTGGTCGGAAGGGAGTCCTGTTTTGTGTGCTGGGAGGAGCGCATCTTGGATTTGGGATGCCAACCTGGCGCTGCAGACTGATGCCCGCCAGGAGCCCCGACCCAGCTTTCCCTGTGCTTGCCCTGCAGCGGCTCCCAGGCACAGAGATGCCTTGTCACAGCCCGGATTGTTCTGGGCCACTCCCCCCACTTCCCACCCTGAACGCCCTCCCCTCCCCTTAGGAAAAAAAAAAAACCCTCCCTTCCCTCTTTCAGCATCCGTGTCTTTAAGAATCGCCTCCATTGTCGCCCGGGACAGAGAGCGCTCTGTGAGTGTGCGGGAGGCCTGTCCTGGGGACACCCCCCCTCCCCATTAAAAGACCATCCGGAACAAGCTCCCCATTCTCCTCTGGAGAGGGTCCCTCTGTCCCAGGCCAAGGGACTCTTAAGGGAACGTTTATCCCGGGACACTCGGTTTACAAAGACTGTTGCAGTGTCAGATAAACTCGCTCAGCCCCACGGTGGGGGGGGGGAGAAGGACAAAACCCCCTTTATTTTCACCCCCGCAGTGAGACCAATAAAGACTTTGTGCGAGAGACCAGGGGTCTGGGCAAGCAGAAGAAGGGGGTCTGTGTTGGCATGGCTGCCGGACAGCGCCACAGCTTATTATCTTATCATTTGGGTTTTATGGGGAATCTGGGCGTGGGGCTGAGAGAGCAGCTCTTCCATCGGGAGATGAGCCCACTTTTCCACCTCCCTCCTCTGTTGCAAGTTGGTCTTGGCTAGCCAGGGAGAATCCCCAGGGTGCCCCCCACCCATTACTTATTTGGATAGAGAAAGATTCACCGATTCCGAGGACCAGGCTCTGGCTGTGTGTGTGTGTGTGGAAGAATCATGGTCTCAGGGACTCTGGGCCATTTAGAAGCATGTGGTAAATGCATGCATGCACATCCAGGGTGCAGAGCAACGTGGAGCCCCTGTGTGTATGTGGCTCCACCTGAGAATACTCTCGATCATGAGTGACAGAGGGTTTTACTCGGTCATACAAACAGAACATTCTGTGACTGGCCCTTTGTGAAAGAAGGGCATCAGACTACTGCTTGTTGATCATCTAAGTGCCAAAGGTGTATCAGCATCTCCTTAATCTGAGGACATCTCTGCAAGGCTCGGAGAGGGAACTTGCCTTCCCAGCGATGTTTGAGGTTCTGTCCCTGCTGGGTCTGAGTCCCAGGCCGCCTCACCTGGCACTGGCTGGGAGTCAGCCACTGAGGTTCAGGTGAGTGAAGGTGTGTGTTCTCCGTGGCCCCTGATCCCTCCTGCTGGGTGTCTCTGGAGGGCTCAGCACATACCTCTGGTGACAGAGGCTGAGCCTGTGCCCACTCAGTGTGGGCTGGGAGGGAGGCACCGGCCTGCTACAGCAGCTGGATTTGGGGACCTTGCTGGAATGCTGGTCCAGGAGGACCCTCCCACTGACATCCTAGAGAGAGGAACCCTAGCCCTGCCCCAGCCCCAATCTGTGACCCTTTCCTTCACTGTTACTCTCAGAAGGTGTGCTGGGCCCTGCCATTGATGTATGTGTGCTGGGCAGGACGCTGGGGTGGCGGGGGCTCCTGAGTTCCATTCTGTGCCTCCTGCAGGGGGAGGTGGGGTGCAGGTGCTTGAGAAGGGCGTCTCCAGATGGGCCTCCTGGCACAGTCCAGAGTTTCTGTTCACACAGGACAGTTGTGGGGGTGGTTGGGCTTAAGCTCCATCAGCAGGAGAATCCTGGACCATCCTCTGCCTCGCTGAGCCTACGCTGTCCCACTGCAGGACCTGAGATCGTTCCCAAGCCTGCCTGAGGGTCATCCTGAAATGCGGGAAGTGATGGAGACAAACCATTGGATGGTAAAGGCTTCTGGGCTCTGCAGACGCACAGCCTGCAGGAGGTGGAACCTGATCTCAGAAAGCACCTTGTGCCGCTGTGCAGGTGTCTGGGTGCAGGTGAGGTGTGAGGGAGAGTGGTTTGGGGAATTCGGGACGTAGCTAAATGCAGTCTCTGGGAGAAATGAGCCTGGCTCCCTCCCACAGCGCTGTGGACAGGTGGGTCCAGTGGCGGGACACATCAAAGGGTTGGCTGGATGGAAGGTTTCATGCTCATCCTGGGAGGGGCGTGCTAGGGATGGGATGTTGGAAGAGGGGTGAATGCTAGACGTGGAGGAACAGCAGCAGCGCCATCTTGGACAGGAAGGCAGGTCCCTCCATCCTTGGTATTTTCCTGGACTAGACCTAGAACCTGAGGATGGTGGTGCTGAAGCCACCACCAACCATGGAATCTGGAACAGTTTCCATGGACTCTCACGCCAGATAGGACAGTGTCATCCAGAGGGGGGGCAAACAGCAGATAGGAATGGGGATGGACTGGGTTCTTGCCCCACCCCCAGCTCCCACTCAGTCACCGCGGCAGGTGGCTGTCTCCAGGTGTGCCTGGTCACTTCTCGTCTTTACCCCACTGAGAACCCTCACTTTGTGCAGTAGATATTTAGAGCCTGCAGGTTTCGGTTTCATCTACCTGTAGATTGGTTGGGTAAAGGAGGAGGCTGAGAGTCCCGTTAGACCAAAGTTTGAATGATATGGGTCTCAATCATTGCATGTCATTTCTTCCATAGGTAACCTTAACAGATGTCTCTGTCTCTCTGTCCCCCTGTTTTGTTTCTTAGGCAAAACACCAGCCATGCATTCCAAGGTTATGTCTAGCTCTAAAAGTAAAGCAGTGGATGCTTGGGACATGGGTGTGTGTGAGGTGCATGGCCTCGCTTGGCTCCTGGTTCTTCCCTCCTGGCTCCCTGCAGCTCAGGTCCCTCCTGGCTGTTTTGTGGGTCCCCTGACCTTCCACCCTGCCTGGGGGAGGGTGGGGTCTTGCAGGGGTGGCCATGAGGACATGTCTGCAGGCCCATTTGGCCCACACAGCCTTATAGAGGGCAGCAAGAGGCAGGCAGGGGCAGTTTGCAGTCCTGTCACAGAGCTCAGAGGTGGTGGACTTTGCTATTTCCTCTGCTCTACAGGTGGTCAGGGAGTGGACAGAGCTGATGGCCCTGGCACTTCTGTGGCTGCTGACTCCTCTTGCCTACTTTCTCACCTTCCAAACCTGGAGGCTCTGGGGACCATCTTGCAGACTCGGGAACCTCTGAGGCCGAGCAGACCAGGCGCCAGCCTGTGTTTGCGGAGGATGACATGCGCATCTCATTTTGGTTCGCGGCCCCTGCACCCTGGTGCATCCCACCCTCCAGTGGCCCAGGAGAGCGGGGCCTCTGCAGCTGCGGCCCCCTCCCCGGCACATGTGGGAGCTGCGCGGAGCTGGCAGTGGGGGCGGGGGCCACTCCCTGCCCGTCCACCTCTTTCATGGCTGAGGTCGGGGAGGAGACTGTTGAGGACAGACGTGTTTCGGAGCCTCCTTCCTTTTTATGTCCTCACTACCAGTTACCACCTGCACACGAGCTGGCGGCGGAGGCTGGCTGTTCTGAGTCAGGTGACAACTTGGCCTTTCTCTGGAAGACGTAGTGGCACCTGATGGCAAGGGCAGGGGCGGCTTCTGTAGAGAGCAGGCTGTGTTTCTCCCCCCTCAACAAGAGATTCCTGTTCTTTCCTGGGGGAGGGGCCCTTAGCACAAGGGAGACTTCAGACAGGCAAGGCCGGGAGGGCTAGCGGGTTGGTGGCAGGAGGTGGGGGAGCAATGTCATTTATTAGGTCTATGAAAACAATACGGGGTTTGTCTCCTGGGGGTGGCGGTGCCTGGGGAGGCAAGCCGAGATGGGCCCAAGCGAAAGAAAACAAGCCCAGGTCTGACGAAAACGTGGTGACCCCGAAGAGCAGGGAGAAAAGCACCTTTGTTTAGGGCGGTCCGGGGGGAGGCTGGGTGGTCAGGAGGTCGCTGGGGGAATGGCGGCCGCTGTGCAGGGAACCTGGGTGCCCAGAGGGGCTGCAGGAGACCAGACTCCCAGCTTGATGGGAGTGTCTGGGGTGGCTGATCCCTGGGCACTGCAGCCTGGACTGGGTTCGGGAGACCTCTTTCTTATTAGCTCTGTTCTTGAGGGAGGCTGGAGAGAAACTGTCACACCCCAGGGCTAGTGCAGGAGGATGGACAGAGGGTCCACCCTGACGTGGAAGGTCAGGCCTGCTGCTCACCATTCTTGCATGATCTGGGGCAGAGAAGCCCCTGGAGCCCAGGGACAGGCCCTGCAGACCTGGGGGGAAAGGATGTGCCCCCAGTACCAAGGGATAGTGCCAGTGACTGTAGTGGCTTCCCTGTCCCAGGGTCACATCAGCCTGCCTGACAGCCTTGGAGGGTCACTGTCCTTTGTCCTTGCTTTAAAGTGCCAGAGGCTGCTGGGCATGAAGATGAGGTGGCTCAGCTCAAGGTCACTCACCTGCCCGCGTGGCTCCATCAAACCCCATCCCCAAGTCGAAAGTGTGGTCCCCGCTGCCTGCCACCTGAGGGCAGGGGTCTGGCCAGAGGTTTTGGATCAACTAATGTGCATTTTCTGCGTTTGAGGGAGAGCAGGACAAGGCAGCAGGTCACCTGGGGGAGGAGCAGGGCTCACCCTTTGTGCCCCTAATACCCACCCGGGGAGCACCATCTGCTGGTCTCTGCCCCTCTCCTGGGCGTGGCCCAGCCCACTTGAGGTCCCCAGCTGGCCCAGTATGCACTCGGCACCGTTTCCCTCTGGCCCACTCTGGCCCACCTGGTCTTCCCTGGACTTTCCTGGAGGTCTGCTTTCCACCTGGGCTCCTGAGGACAACCACTTGGGCAAAGGCAGAGCCAGCAGGACCTGTTCCTCCCCTGGAGGAAATGACCTGCTACCCCAGCAACTGACCCGGGTCGGTTCTGGCTGCTTAGCAAGGCCTCTTTGTTGTTGGTATGGGTGGGGGGACCCTAAGCTGAGGAGGAAGCAAGGAGAGAGATGTTGCCCGGAATAGTTTTGGGGTTTGTTTAGGGACAAAGAAGATCCAGAAGGCGCTCTCCTGCCAGGTTGGTCTCTTCCCGGCCCCTCTGCAGCAAGCCTCGGTTCCTGAGCTGTTGCTTTGGCTCAGGTGTTCTAGCGCCCTCAACGCTCTCCTCTACCTGCCCACGCGGGAGGCATGTCACCTAATGATTCCTGAGCTCCCCCGCTGAGCCAGGCTCTGTGGCTTCTTCCCTGCTTACCCGATACTGTGAGGGGTCCCTGCTTTCATTCCAGCTTTCCTGGTAGGGCTGGATGTTGAGGATCTGCGGGCCTCACAGCCGGGAGAGCCTGGATTTTAGACCAGTACTCCGACTGGGAAGGCCAGGCCAGTCCTTCTGGGATGTCGCTGCCCCCTGGGGACCCCTGCCCCACACCACGGCTCCACCTTTGGGCTTCTCGGCACCAGTTTTCAGCCCGTGGTGGTGAGGGTTCTCGGCTACCTTGACTTGCTTTTTAAGTGTACTGAAAAGGTTGTAAGCTGGAAATTAGGGCTCTTTATGTTACTTTGTGCCCCAAAGCATGAGGCACAGTGCCAGCACCTGCCAAGGTCTCTGTATGCACCTGCTGAATGGACAGGACAGGACTAAAGGCCACTTTGCCTGCCTGTAACATGCCCTTGTCTGATGCTTCACATGAGCAGGTGGAAGATGGTGGAGATGCTGATTTTAACTCTGGGTCAATTTGAGGAGGGGGCTTTGGTGAAGCAGGCCAGGTTCCTGACATTCTACTATTTAAATCATATTTGTTTTTTTTAAAAAGCAACTTTGAATTTCAAAAACACCTGCATTTGTTGCATCTGTTCAGCATCTTTCTGCAGGTGAGAAAGTCAAGGTCAAGGCTGGGCGTTGGGGATATACCCGCCACCAACAGCTGGGGGGCTGCTTCTGTCTGATCATGAGCTCCATCCTTTATCCAGTTCCCCACCTATTTGCTGGAGTCCCCGGAGCCTGAGAGACAAGGGGTTTTCCTGATAAAGTTGGTAAAGGCAACAGGCTCCAGAGGATGCTTCATTCTTTTCCCACTGAGCTGCCTGATCACCAGCTTCCCCACCCCACCCCCACCCGGGCTTCTGAGCCAGCTTTACTGAGGTGTAATTTACTGACTGTGCACCCACCCATAGTTAAAGGCACAAGTCTGAGAATTGCAGTCAGCTGGTAGTTTTGCAGCCATAACCACAGAGTTCTGAGGCATTTCCACGGACCCCCGGGGCCTTCCCTCTTGATACTTTGCAGTGTCGCCTGCTACCAGCCCTGGATCTGCTTCTGCCTCTGCAGATGGGCCCTCTGGGGACACGGACTGTGAATGGAACGACACACAGGTATTTTCCTTTGCTCGGGATAATGTTTATGAGAAGGTGGTCCTCACCCACTTTTCCTGGAGCTTCGAGGGTGCAGGCTGGTGACTTCCAGGCGGTGGATGGGTTAACGGGAACCGAGGCTGAGATGGGCGGGTGGGGGTTGCACGTGGGGTCTGGTTGTGTCTTGTCTTCCCTGCTTCCTGCCCAGGCTCCCTGACCTGGCTTTCCACCTTCCCAGCCAGTTTTGAGGACCTGGCCGCCTCCTTCCCGGCCCTTGTGGCTTAATTAAGTCACAATGACAGACAGAGGAGGCCTGTTTCCTGGCAATTAAAGTAAGTGGAAGATTGGAACATGGTCCAGCCCTCCTCAGCCAGGAAGGGTTGAGTCTCCCATCTCACTGCTCCTGCCCCACCAAGGAGGGTCTGGGGGCCTAGTACCCCCTTCCCAGGTCTTGGAAGAGGGCTCCTTGCAGTTGACTTTTAAGGCTATTGCATGCAAATAAATAAATAAATAAATAAATAAAATAAAGTCCATTTATTGTTATTTGTAAGCATCTTCCTACCGCCCCAACCCCAAGCCTAGGAGACGGGGAGGGAGGGCCCATTTATTCACTTAGCAAGCTCCTGCTGAATGTCTGGCCTGGGGCAGAAAGTGAAATAGCCCAGACTTCCTGTGCTCACAGCCAGAGGTGGAGGAGGCGGTGGACAGGGGTCGGAGGAGCCCTGGCTCTCCCTTGGTGATGCTTGGAAAGTCAACCCTGAGGGTCAGGGTGTGGGGGAGGAAGAAGGAACCTGGGCAGGGAGGACTCGGGCTGGGGTAGAGGGCACACAGGGGTGCTGGGGTGGTGAGGAGTCACAGGGCCCCGACTGAGTCAGAAAAGGCAAGAGGTTGCTGATGGCGCGTCAGGATGCTGATTTTGGCTCCCGGTGGATTTGAGTGAGGGGCTTTGGTTAAGCAGGCTGGGCTTCTGTTGGGGAGGGTCAGTGATTTTCTCTGCTCTTGGAGATACCTTGTGGGGGTCACCTCTGCTTCTACTTAGGTTTGTTTTTCAGAACACTTTGCATTCCATCTCACTGGAATTCCAGCTCCCTGTCATGCTTTGACAAGTCTGGTCATCTCTTTTATCCCTAGTCCCCGTTGGGGTCTTGCAGAATGATCATCTGGGAATGGTGTTGGATTCCCGCCTTTTCCTTAATCTTTTGTGTTCATTTTCCACTTCTTACACCTTAGTTTATCGTTGATGCTGGTGCTGTAGAGCGAGTACCGTGGCTTGCTAAGGGACCTCCTGAGAGTATGAGATGTCAACTTCACTTAATCCTGTTATGTAACTGATGCTCTGAAACGGGGTTTCCCTCCATTGTCTTTTGGTCACCCTGGGTACCTTGGTAACCAGGTGGCAATTGCGCCAGGTGAGGGTGTGGGGAGTTTGGATTGCAGCAGGTGAGCAGCTGGTTGGGAGGGTTCCCAGCAACAGGCATGAACCAAGGAGACCAGTGGCTAGCCGGGCTTGGCCAGGATGCAGTGTCCTGGCACATGGGTCCTGGGGCTGTGCCCGTGTCGGTGTATCCTGGCCTCCGCTTCCTCCCTTCTCTGTTCTCAAGCTCCCTGTCCTGAGGCTCTCTGAAGACTCTTCCCTTCTGCTCTTGAAACTGTGTGACACTCAGCTGCCGCCCAAAGACTGTCTGTCCCCTTACGTGATTTCCACATTCAGAGTGGAGTGAGGAATTTGGGGAGGTGCTCAGAGGAGAAGCTTGAATCTCTAGGCTTGCTCGGTGTCCCTGGGGGACCCCCTTTCCATGTTGGCTCTCTGTCATTCTCCTGCTCTCTGCCCCTGCCTCTGCATCCTGGAAGGACCACCAGGCACAGGGATTCCTTCCAGCCACGGAAAAGTCATCTTCCTTTCTTCATCCAGTGCAGGCTCAGGACGTTGGAGTGTTATGCAAACAGCCCTCCAAAGAGAAAAGCGGCATTGTCCTCCCCTTGCCAATGGCCTGGCCTCAAGAGCCACCAATTTCCCTGGCTGAGAATTGCCAAGTGCATTTGCAGAGAGAGAGAGAGGAGTGTGTGTGTGTGTGTGTGTGTGTGTGTGTGTGTGTGTGTGCATGCACACGTGTGTACACACAGCACGTGGTGGGTGTGGCTGAGCTCTTATCCCCAAAGAGCCCTTCTGGATGATCACTGTGGTGAGAGGAGGGGAGGAGACAGGAAGGTCAGGGAGGAGCGAGTTGCAGGTGACCCGGCCAAGGCTGCTGGTGTTAATGCTCATGGAAACCCTGGGATCAAAGAGCATCCGATCTGCAAGGTTGAGAGTGGCCTAAAGATGAAGCATGCCCAGTGTCTCCCTGAAGGTCTTGCCCAGTGTCCCCCTGAAGGTCTTGCCCAGTGTCCTGCGTCTGTGATATAACCACAGGAGCTTCTGCCCATCCCCCCTCTGCACTTTGACACCTGAGTCATCTTCCCGTGCCACAACCCGCCTGGATGACTCCAATGGTGCTCGAGAACCAGCAAGCCGGGGACCACGGCTTTATTAACTAGCTTCACCTTTGGGCTGTTGAGTTTTTCACCACGAGCAATAAATTGCGTTTTATGTTGGTACCTTTTTAAAGTTTCAATAACAGGATCACCTGTTCTGACTCGAGTCTCCTGCTGAGGGTCATAACCCTTAGTTCCTGGAGACCCTGGTGAGGCGGGGGACAAAAACATGCCTCCCATGCCTGGTCCCTTGGCTGGGTGCCCTGTGGCACTGGTCAGTGGGGTGAGGTGTTGGCTTGCTGTCCTTCTTCTGGGCCTCACACTGTTCCTTGATTCATCCCCCTGAACTTCAAAGAAAAGCTCTCATTTTTTTTAAGTGATCGTTTGCTCTTCTGGCATTGGGAACAAGGTCCAAGCGGGTCAGCTCCCGACCTGCCCCTCTCCGCCGTCTCCTAGCTTTCATTCAAAGCCCTTCTTTGGTGCATGGTGAAGCCCTCTCCTCCTCCTCTGCCCACCTTTCTCTTGGGGATATTCCTGTTTCTTACTCCTTTTCCCAGTGAAGGGGAACCAAGCCCAGCAACAGGCATGAACCCGGGAGACCTGAGGCTCAGAGACAGAGGCCAGCACAGAGGCCACCTGCTGTGTGAGCCTGCGCATGAGGTCCAGAGAGGCAGATCACAGGTTGGGCGTGAGCTTTTCATTTCTGTGGCCAAAATGCCCGACAAGAGCAACTTAGAGAAGGAGAAGTTGATTTGGCTCGGGGTTCCAGAGGTTCAGTGCACGGTCAGCCGACTCCATAGCTCTGGGCCTGAGGGGAGGCCGCAGTCATGGTGGAGGCGAGTAGCAGAGGAAAGCGGCTCCGGTCTCAGGAAGCAGAGCGGGAGGAGAGGCAGGGGCAAGACAGAGTCCAAGGGCACGCCCCCAGGGACTGACTGCCTCCAGCCATGCCCACCTGCCTTCAGCAACCACGCAGTAGTTCATCCAGTTCATCCATCAAGTGGATTAATCCACAGACGTGTCTACAGCTCTCATGATCTAACCGTCTCACCTCTGAACATTCCCGCACCATCTAATGTTCCTACTACATGAGCATAACATTGTGACAGTAGGTTCACGGTGGTCAGGGACTGGAAGGGAGGAGGGGGTGACTGATGGGAAGATCCGGCCGGAGTTTCCGTCTGGGGAGATGGTTGTGTCCCAGAGCTAGATACTAGCGATGGCCGTACAGTGCTAGGGATGGACCTGCGCCACTGGGTTGAACACTAGAAAATGGTCCAAGTGGTGGGGTATGTGGCGTGCGTGGGGGACAGATGCTCAGGGCGCACAGGAGCTTCGAGACGAGGCTTGTCCACCAGCAGTCAGTCCCTGACTTGTGACGGTTGGACTTGGGGCTTTTCCATCTTACCCTGGTGCAAAATTGCTCTGCCGTCAGTGGATCTGGATTTAGGTCTTGCCCTGGGCGAGGGCCATGTGGTGCGATTCTGTCTTGAGATGCGGGCCAGTGGCACTGGGCCCTGGATCCCAGGGTGCCCCGGGTTGCCGAGGGCGGATGGTCAGTAGGTTAGCTGTGTAAAATGCATTTTCGATTCATGATATTTTCAACTTCCGATGGGTTTGTCAGGATGTAGCTGCACCGTAACTTGACGAGACCTCTGTTTGACGTCCTGAAGTTACCCAGCTGTCTGGCCCTCTAGTGCCCTGACCTTAAGATTGATTAAGAACCTTTTTGTTTTAGTTGTAGGTGGACACAGTATCTTTATTTCATTTTTTTTGTGGTGCTGAGGATGGAACCCAGTGCCTCACGTGTGCTAGGTGAGCACTCTACCACTGAGCCACAACCCCAGCCCCAAGAACACTTTTTTTTGTGGACAAAAGTGGTTTTTTTTGGCAGCAGCAGATTTCTGGTGCAATGTAGAAGCTGTTGTCCTGGTTTCTGGAGACGGTGGCCACATCCTCAGGGCTGAGGGGAAGGTGGCAAGGGGACTGTCTCCTGTGCTTTGTAAGAGTATCCCAGCTGCCCTGGTCCAGGGCCCCTGGCCCTTCCTCCAAGGCTGCCCCTGGGAAACTTGGCCTTCTTGGGCCCTTTCCTACTTAAAAAATATTGGAAGCTTAGTTTTCACAACTGTATTGGTACGAGCACGTGAGGTGAATGTGGCACATGAAAACATTTTCTTCAGCCTAAAAGTGTGTGTTCTTTTGTCCTTATTTTAAATGAAATTAAAACATGTGTGTGGCCCTTTGAAGTACCGTGGGTCCTGGCGCGTGTCTCCTGGCCACGTGGTAGTCAGCCCGGGTGGCAGCAGCCTCCTCTGGTGGGTCCCATGCCTGGGGCATCTCCAATCCTGTGGCCTTTGTCCTTCCTCTGAAGCAGCTGCAGTGTCAGGGTCTGCTGTGGCCCCCAGACTGAGCCCTTGCTCTGAGACGGGGCCCCTGAAGAGTGGCTGCAGCCCCTGCCAGGAGCTTAGCTCTGGGACCCTGTCCCCACTTCTCAGTGCCTGTGAAGACGTGGATGAGGGCTGTGGCAGGAATGACTTTGTCACACACAGCCC